CAGTTTCGTCGGTACCTGGTTTGATTTCGTGGTACCGGAATCAGTTCACGGCGCTATCTCTTACAATCTATACTGCGCAGCCGTTCTGCTTTGGTTCTTGTTCATTCTCTTAAAGGAGGCTTGGCAGCAGGCTTGGTTTCGTTTTTTCGTAGCCGGTCGTTGTCTACTTGCCTGTATGGTGTTTCGCACTGGAATCTGGACTTAAAATTCTACAACCCCCCAGACCCTTACAGGCCCTTACAGCAAGGTTCAACACGCATTTCCTGATTATAGAGAGTCCGGCTCTTCTTCCTGCTGTGGGCGGAGCAAGGCGCTGGCCGTGACTCGTGTGCTCATATGGGGTCTGGTGGCTGTGATGCTTTTTCTTCCCGCGGCCCGCATCCAGTTTGGAGGTATGTCCAACGTTCTTTTGTTCCTCTCAATGCTGGTGATGGTGTTCGTCATTGGGAGACAGATGTTGAAACGTGATAGAAGTCGTCGGGGCAGTATATCACTTGATGATTCGGTGCGGTGGTTGAGCAAATTTGGGCTTTTGTTCCTGTTTCTGCTGACGAGCTTCGTGGCACTTCACTTCTTCAATACAACGATGACCGATGTGCTGGTCTCTGCAGCTGAGAGTAGAACCTTCAACAAAGACTGCATCTTCATGGGAACCTTCGACGCCCATGATGTCTGGCACATGTCGATGCTTGTCCGCAGATCAGAAGCTTTATCCAAACATGCAAGCAGCAGGAGCCAGTTTGCACTGTGTACAGTCTTGCGCTGTGCTGCTGCGATCCGGGCCGCAAGTAATTTTGCGGGTGGGCTCTAGAGTCAAAAGCCACGCTGGGAGTCCGGTAGCAACAGCTGAGGTCAGCCATTTCGCTTGCCCTGTGGGTTCAAGTGTTGCTTGGGGTGCGTCTCAGAATATGGAGACGCAACAGCCAACAGCACGGACGCACGAGCCAGGTTGCTCTTTCGATGATCTCATCGCAAGCAGTATCGACTTGACGACAGCTCTGAAAAAAAGCTGTTGCAGAAATGGCCGTATCAGAGGCAAGAGATTAGATAGTTTGCATAGTGCAAGCACTCGGGGCCGAAAAGCCGAGGTCTTTCCTCGGGACATTTCTTGGCACGCCTTGGCAGCAGGCCAAGCAGCAATGCAGGCATCCGCTCAGCGCGGCCGCCTGCTGCTGACGGACGTCGACCGTTTGGAAGCGCGAGGCTCGAGACCTCTCAAGCTCTGAGGCCTTCAGGCGGTTCAAGGCAGGCAACAGTCAGGAACAGAACCAGGTCCTAGAGCTCCAAAGCGCTCCTCTGTCCAAGCCATTGCAGTGCCGACTGTGACCAGGCCTCGAGCAGACGCCAGAAACCAGGACGTTTGGTGCTCGGGCTTCACAATGCAAGCACGATGTTCCCGGCATGGGTGTTGTTGCCTTGTTTTGAGCCAGGTCAAGCTCCGCTGGCTGCAATGTAGATGTTTCCGAGGGATCCTTGGTATTGTCGCTTGGCTTGTCTTGGTGAACCGGATTCTGTTTCAGTTGCGTCTTCTTGCGAACTCTCCCGAAGGTCGTGCATTCTGCCGCCCTCCTCGTACTTCACAGTGGCCTTCAGAGAACTCACGCGCCAGACGCAGACATCGGCAGTGCTTCAAGGTGATAAATGACCACTTTCGACTTCTCGTCTTGAGTCTGCAACGAGCATGTAGGCTCGATCTAGAGATGGACGTTGAGCATTGGATCGACTCTTGCAGGTTGATGCTTCCTTCGCACAGCTCTCTCCACAGGAGTCCGAGTGCGCAAGGTGTCAGTTGGCTTTTCGACTAAACCCTAAACCCTGATCCTCAGCCATGCGAGAGGGAAAACAAACCCCAAACCCCAAACCCTAAACCCCAAACCCGTTTTTCCTGAGCTGCATGAAGGTAATTTAATTGTGATACTTTGGTTTGCAAGTACTGCCGCTACCTGGCGAGGTGTCGAAGACTGCTGGATCACTGACGCACTTCATGCTTCTTCGGTCTCGAGAGCTATCTTGTAATGGAGCTGAGGATGCGAAGCTAGTATGTGCCAAGCTGTGAGCAACAAAGTTGTTTGTGACTATGTCAATACCTGTCTTGGCATTGGTGTAGTGACTCGATGACTTCAGCCAAATCCTTTCAGTCTGAGTGGGCTTTACTTTTGAATCACTTCGGTGGAAATCGCCTGTGCAGATGCTTTGACTGCCTTAGCGCTTCCTTTGTGCTGCGCTGCTCTGAGTCTCCCGAAATGGGAACAAGCCTTGATACAAGTCAAGAGGTTGAAACTGTCTAATTAGTGAGTTCTTTTTGCTGTTAAGCTGATGGCAAACTGGACTCACTTTGTCTGTGCTCTCTGTTCTGAACTTAACCCTGCAATGCGGGCTCGTCCTTGCTAAGTGGGAGGGAAAAAACCCCAAGCCCGAAACCCTTAAACCCTTAAACCCTAATAACCCTAAACCTGTGTCAGGACCTGGCAGCTCTTCAGCTGCGGTTGAGTCAGACCGACGCTTCTTCAAGGAGCCTCGGTTTAGGCGAAAGAAAGGCGAAGAGTGCGGCCGTCGCCTTTAGGGTTCAGGGTTCAGGGTTTAGCGTTTAGGGTTTGCGGTTTAGGGTTTAGGTTGTGGTGTGCAGGAAGCCCTTGGAAAGGCTGCTGGGCAGCATCCAGAAAGCCATGGAGTCAGCGCCCCAGAGCTCTGGCAAGAATTCGCAAGCAAAACGGGGCAAGCGATGAAGTTAGCAGGGCGCGAATGGAAATGGCCACCAAGGAGATTGAGGCTCTTCTTGGGGAACTGATGACTGAGAGCGTAGCCGGTGGTGTAGCAGGATTCGGTTGCAGGCCCTGATGCAGAGCTCCGGAAACATCGACGACAACATTCGAGAGTGCTTGCAGCGACAGGCGGTGGTCACACGGATTGACTAGGAACGGCTGAACCAGTGCCTCGGACGGGATGCCAGGACAGTGTCCTCCCGATTATGGCAGCTATGTCCTTGGAAGTCTTTATGCCATGCCAGAAGTAGGGAAGGGCAGGTGTCGGCATGGTGGGGCAGGGTAAGACAGAGAAGGTGCTCCTTCCTGATCCTTGAGGTCTTGCAGATGAACATCGGGCGAGCCCAAAAAGCCGGCAATCAGCAGCTGGACTGTCTCGTCGATCGCGACCCGGGTTTGTCCCCCTTTTCTCCTACAGTAAGTCTTTGCTTTGCCGACTTGAAGCGTCCGCCTGCGCAGGAAAAAGCTCTGACGTACCTGTACAATATCATGAACCAGGAAATCGAGTCGAAGGTGCATGGCGCTACATGGCGCATGCATTGCGATAGAGAGCAATGGACCCATGCAGCGGGTTGAAGTTCGTCTCCTAATAGTATCTCAATAGTCTGTTATCTTGAAAGACAGAGAGAGGTGGCACGCAGGAGATGTTACCTTAGCTTCCCACGGATTCCATAGGCTTACTACTTGTGTGCCTGCACTCCTTTTGCACACATGGGTCTCAACGAGCCAAATCCTTATGCCAACTCTTTTGCTATGCCAAGTAAGGTGCTGAATCTCATTCGGCCTCTTGAACAGTTCGTGGTCATGGTCACGTGTCCTTAAGTATTGAGCGCTCCTTCAAAGTCGCGTTCAACGGTTCAAGAGGGCTGAAAAGATGTCAACAAAAGCACCTATTGGAAGTCCCATGTATGTAACTTACTCGAGCCATCCGCTTAACCAGTGCAGTTGCCTCCTTGGCAATGAAGGGAATTCAATGACAGTGAAGCATGTAATGCGTCGTGCACGCATACTGATTGACATGCTTTAAGTAGAGCAGAGAGAGTCCTCAGTTTCCACTCAGAAGGCCCCAGCTGATCGGCAGCACGTGACTGACGGCAAGCAGAGGCCAACTATTCAACAGCAAGCGACCATACCAATGCCTTGTGCCAAGCTCAGCGAGGACCTTTCCATGGCAGCGGCGGACCCCACCTAAACCAAAAAAGGGGAGCAAGGCAGAGACCGCCACACAACAGGAGGCCCGCAGCCAGCACAACCAAAACACAGCAGAAATCCGTCAGCGAAACGAACGAGAGGTGAACCAACAGCGGTTCTTGATACGAAAAGACTATGAAGTGGTGAGCCAGGTGCCAATGGTAAACCGTGTGCTTTCCCGCTGCTTAAGCACCGAGGACCGAGAACAGCTGAAGCTTTCAAGAGTGGTTCTGCAAGACATATACTGTGAAGAAGACTGACGTGAGGATTCAGATGCGCGAAGGGAGCTTCTTGCAGCGTACTTTGCGGAAACGGCCGGCGAGGTGTCTTTTGCGGGTTCGTTGTGTTGTGGCTGCCAGAATCCAACTTCGAAGGAGGAAGCCGCCAAGCGGCCAAAGTCGACGGCCAGCGCTATCGTGGGCCTGGTCTCCGAGGCGAGTCTAAAAGCTAGCACGGCAACGGGGCGTCCGAACGGCTTCGTCTTCCGAGGCTCAGGCACAGGCGACGCAGCCCGGTCTGGATCTGACGAGCCGGGACCCAAGCAGCTCACGGCCTCTGCCTCTGCTTATCTCTGCTCGCCTTGCTCGCCTTGGCAGGCGCCCTGCAGCGGATCCGGGGGGTTGCACTTGATGTTGGGGTTGTCCTTGGTGAAGTCTTTGATGACAAGGCTCGGGCATGTTGGCATGCTATTCCTGCACAAGATGCCGCCTCGTCAGGTTCAGGAGCGGTTTATGGAGGATATTCAACCCCTGTTCGATGCACTGGCGGAGACGAACCATTCTCAGAGGATGCAGACGCAAGACCGTCGATCCAACAGGGTCACCTCGAAAAGCTGTTCAAGCCGACTTCTCGACATGTGTGAGGTAAGTTCATCGAACAACGCACGTGCAGACTCAGGCGGCCCCCATGACCACTTGGCATGTTCCCAGAGCCGCACGCGATCTCACGCGCATGCATCTGATATCGTCCGATGCCCCTGAATCCAAGATGGCTCGAGCAGGCAACTTGGGCCTGTTGCAGTAGCTGGTGTAGTTCCTTGGCGGATTTATGGCGTCTGAGAGCCAGGTTACGGACGCGGGTGCCCATGTGCATCTGCCGCCGTCCCTGTGTGAAGCTCTGGTGGCGGCATTCCCCAAGACATCTTCGCAGACTGCGCCTGACTTCGCCGCTATGATCAGCGACTTGCTCGCCTACGCACCGGCGAGAACAAGCACTCCAGCCACAGCGAGTGCGAAGATTTGCCGAAGCAGAGCTACTCCAGAGCTCCATGGTGGCCCTGAAGGAGCTTACCAGCGAGATGCCTCAACTGGCCGCTGGAGATCCCAAGACCGCTCGCAGCCGCCGCAGCCGCGAACGAAGCCCTGTGCTTCCCCAAAGTCTCCAGAAGAGCTGGCGCCGGCGCCAGAAGCTGAAGAGCCGGAAGAGCCGGTGCGACCTCAGAAGGCAGCCGAAGCCGCCCTGAGCCGGGCGAAGGCAGAGACGGTGAAGCTTTGGGAGGCCGCCAGGAAGACTTTGGGAGATCGCTGTCGGAGCTTCAAGCAGCAGGATGCCATGCAGCGGACGATGGCAGAAGTCGAGCTTGAGAAGTCCATGCTCGCAGCGTCGTGGAAGTTATTCCGGGTGTTTCGGCGTACACTACAGCTTTTTCGGTTGGGCTTGCTTCTCACACCCTATTACTCCTCGCACCTGCAGTCAGTGTTTGCTACTCGAGAATCAATCTCAGGACTCTCTAGACAAGAAGGAGCTTGGAGAGATCACTCGCATGGCCGCAGGCTGTGTGTCTTGGCTGCTCTGGCTGGTGTAGTGAATCCCTAGTTTTGCCTGCAAAGTGGGACCTAACCTGAGGAGGGTGGTCGAGCTTTGTCTGTTGGTGTGGCCCGTCACCTCTTCGAGAATGTTGGTTCATCCGGCCGAAGCAGCTGCAGGGGTGGTAAGCCAAGGGCCAAGCCCAAGCGGTCTTCTGCCGCTTTGCCTCCTCGACCCACGACCGAGCATGAGGGTGCAGAAAGGACGCAAGAAAAGAAACCGGAGAAGATGAGCGCACGGCCTGAGTCTCCTTCAGTTCGCCATCGAATTGGTGCCTGGGAGATTTCGCAAGCTGCCCCTTTTGGTGGGGCATAGACGCATGGTCGGACGAGCTACTCCGGCAACCTCGGCCAAGAAAGGCTTGAAGAGTGCAGCTTCAGGTCACAAATTAATAAATTCAAGGCCTGCATGTGCAGCAAAGATGGACAGCGCATGCCCAGTGACCTAGCCTACTGCGCGCTGACCAGAAAGATCCAAAATGTTGTGCTTGGCGGAGCATGCATCTGCCAGGCCCATGCATGTGCTCTTGTCTTCGCCCAGATCCGGCTCCGGCCGCCTAGCATGGCGGTCACGCACAAAACGTGACAAGAGCAACTGCCTGGCATGCACCTAACAGGCCCCTCGGAGCCTGTGGACACAGGGTGGAGCACCGCCGCGCTTGCCTTGGTGCATGACAGTTGTGTTTGCTTCCGCATCAGGTTGGTCTACCTTAGGCCCTAGGCCTTAGGCTTGGTTTCGCGAGAGATCTGCTCGATGTTCCATGACGTTGATTCGCACCTTGATTCGTTTGATCCCATCCCACGTCACGCACTGACACGTGCCATGCTCAAGCTTTCCCAGAGTGCAGGGCTCCAGGCCCAGGCCGGGGCAGCTAAGCTGCCCTGCCGCCATGAGCGTGCCGAGGATGTTGGAGACATTCTCGGCCATCGAGGAAGAGCTCCAGCGATCCTTCGAATCAATGAACAGCGTGAGTGAGCAGGTCCAGAGTCTGCGAGACGCAGTGGAGACCCTCGATTCGCGAGATGAAACAGAAAGATCAGAAAGCAAGACGACCACGCCAACACAAAGCAAGACAACCACGCCAAGACAGCGTCGCGTGTCCCTCCGAGGATCCAGCCCCATTAGCCCTAAGTCGAGGGTGCTGCAAGAGCCACCCGCTCTTGTGATCCACCGGCACGGCAAGACACAGAAGCAGCCAAGCTCGGTATCCAAGCAGGTTACAGCCGCTGCATCAACAAAGGCGACAGATGCCGGTGGCACCCAGCTGCGCTTGCACGGGCGCTGGATGGACTTGGCCACCCAAAGCGCGGAGGGTCCTACCAAAGACACTCGGAAAAAAGTCACGCATCGCTTGAGCCAGATCGGTGGCATGGGCTCGGAGCAATCTCTTGCTAAGCCACAAACCGTCGAACCCTTGCACCCACATGGTGCATTCAGGATTTTCTGGGATATGATAGCTATGATACTGATATTTTGTGACACAATCATGCTGCCGCTCGCACTGGCGTGGGAAGAGGACATGAGCTCGGCCAACTTCTTCAGCATGATGCTTTATGTGAACTTCTGCATCAGTCTGACCTTCTGGACTGCAGACTTACTTGTCAACCTGAATACTGCGACATACCGCAAGGGCACGTTGGTAACCCAGCGGTTTGCCATATTCAAGAGCTACTTGCATGGGTGGCTGATGTTCGACATTCTGCTGCTCGGTTTTGACATCATGTATGTCACATCGGATGCGAACGTGTCCTCAGAGTTCCGTCTGGTTCGTGTGACGAGAATTTTACGCTTGTTGAGACTTTTGCGCATGCTCAAGCTCACGAGACTAAATGCCATCATTGAAGAGACTGCGGCCAACAGCGGCAAACAGTGGGTTACAGTCGTCATCGCAATCACGAACACAGCCTTGGGAATGATTTTCATTGCCCACTTGCTGACGTGCATGTGGTACGGGGTTGGGCGGGCGGTCGAAATCGACAACTTCGACAACCCCGGTGGCATACAAAGCTGGACTGTGCGAGCAGGTGCAAGAGTGCACGAGATAGAACCTTATATTCAGTATCTCCATGCTATGCGATGGATCGTGAACACGCCCTCGCCGCCTGACATCGATCCCGGAAGTGCGACTGAGAGGATATTCGACATCCTCGTGTCCATCTTCTACTTGCTTGTCATGGGCTCTGCAATTTCAAAGATCTCGGGCACGATCGCAGAGTTGAGAGCGATGAACGAAGCCAGAGATCGCCGGCGCAGAGAGGTGCGACAATACCTCAGCCATCAGCATGTCTCCTTTGAGCTAGTGTCTCGAATCATGCGCTTTGTGGACTACCGGCTTGAGAAGTTTTCGGCAACAAATCTGGACACCTCCTTGATCTCCCCCACTTTACAGTTGGAGCTTTACGTGGGCCAGAGGAGCAGCTTTATCCTGGAGATGCCGATCTTCAAGCTGCTACAGGAGTGCTATCACGACGTCTTCGGCAGCGTTTGTGCAGCTTTGGAGAAACACGTCTACGAAAAGGGTGAAAACATCTTTGTGGCCGGTTCCTGGACATCCTGCCTACACATCACGGCCACGGGCTATTACAGCTATGTTGAAGGCCTGAGCTGCATCAGAAGCCACATTTGCAACGTCCATACCGCCTTACATGCTAGGTCGACAGGAATTGTCGACCAATGCCCCTGTCTCGTGATAAGCTTCTCGCTACCTTCTCATGTCTTGCCCCAAGTTTTGATCGGGTTGTGACTTGGAAGGCTACGACGCGGAAGGTGAGGCAGCAGAGTTCAATGGTACCAGGTGGTTTGGAGAGCTGTCTCTTTACACCGAAGGTAGCTTACATCAGCCGTTGCCCCAGGAGCAGTGACACTTTGCACATCTTTCCGATGAGTAGCTGATCAGGTCAACTCTTGCTGCCGCGAGTTTCGCGGAGACCTTTACCTTGACCGGGCCTGCCTTGGCAGACTGCGTGAAGCAATCCCGTGGTTGCAACATGGCCGCTTCAGGGGGGGCTGTTGAGGTCGCTACTTAGGAGGCAGGCTCAGTGACCTAAAGCTGCCGAGGCATGGCTATGTTTTGTGACTTTGCCAAGGACTGCGCGGGGACTTATGTGTGATCCCGGTTCTCGGTTCCCNNCCCGGCACGCCCGGGTCCAAATATGCCGAATCCCTGTGACTGTGCGTACTTCTCCCACATGGCGGCTCCAAAGCCATCAACTGTCACCAGGATCTCGTCCCAAACACACCCGATCCATGAGGGTATTGAAAATGCAACTGTCACCAGGAGGCGTTCCTGTCGGGCCCGCTTCCTGTGGCAGTTGACCCAAGAAAGGAATATCATGATGCTGATGATGATGATGATGATGAGGATGCTGATGAGGATGACGATGAGGATGACGATGACAATGACGATGATGATGACAATGACGATGACGATGACGATGACGATGATGATGATGATGATGATGATGATGATGATGTTGATCATGATGACGACGATTTCGAAACATCCAGGGCGACCCGAACCGCGAAACACAACACCACAGGGGGGCAGAGGGACTGAGAGCAGACCCAAACCCCGACCCACACCACACCACAGGAGGGGCGGGACACCAAGCCCGAACCACACCGCACCACAGGGCGGGATCATATGGGTGGGGGGGGAGGGGGGGTCATGTCACGAGATTGCTGTAAAGTAGCCAAGCCACATCGAGGCTTAGATGAGACAGCTTTTGCCAAGAAGATTGAACACATCGGTCGAGTTGGTGGGTTTAGCTGTTTAGCTAGCCTCGCAGGACTTTGTCACTGCAATGCAGGGCAGCAAGACCAAGTGCGGAGATCAGGAACAAGTCTACTGGGCAGATGAGTGCTGCAAGAGGAACCAGCACTACCAGGAACTGTACCCAGACCCGAAGACTCGGTTCAAGAACATCACCATCCCCTTGAAGCTGAAGCGCAGTGGGAGCACGAGTGCTTCAGGAGAGGAGGGCGTCAGCTCTAAGGGCTCCTTCACTGTTCCCAGGCCTCGCTTCTCCAAGAGCTCCAGGAACTCTAAAGGCTCCCAGGGCTCCATCAAAGCCGTCGCCTTTGACTCCGATGCAGAGAAAAGCCCCGGCGTGGACTTCGAGCCGGTACAATCCGTGACCAGCTTGTACACGCGCTTCAGCGAAGGATCCGCTGAGGTGATCAATCCAGGCCTGGAGTCCTACCTGAAGACCTTAGATGGGGAGAAGATGGAGACCTACAAGCTCATCGATGATCTCCAGAGTATATTGCCAGAGTTGCATTCTGAGCACAGCCCGCACGTTGTCTTTGAGCAAGCCGCCGAGCGTGAGAGGGCCGAGTCGGCTTGTATCAGTATTTTGGCATTGTACAAGGATCGCTACGACATCTTCACGCAACCACAGGCTCCTCCGGTAAGGATGCAGGAAGAGCAGTGGATAGAACTTCAGAGGCTCATCTGCTGGATCGATACTTGGCCGACTGGGAGCTTTTCTAAATCGCTCTATGGAAACGAAACCAGAGCTCGGTGTTTGTGGGTTTTCTTCTGTTGTGGGCAGCTGCCAGCAAGTCAGGAGCCGGACGTAGAGCGGATCCATGCGGTATTGGCCACAACCTCAGCCATGCACGATGAATCGACCCAGATTCTTTCGAGATGTCACTGAACTGCCAGGTGTTGCTGGCCATTCGGGCACTTGGGAAGTCGAAAGCCGTGCTCCAGCAGATGCCACGGCCCATGCGGCGCCCAGAGAAGGCGGTGCTCCAGCTCATGGAAAGCGCCCCGGCCCGGCTCCGCAAGTGCAGACAGGAATGCGAGGTACCGTGCAGTTTTAGCATTTAGGGCCCATTAGGGCTACGGTTTAGGGATGTCTGATTGAAGCCTCAGGTGAACGGAATGTGGTCCCATCAGTGCTGTGGCTATCTGAACGGGCGGAGCACTTGCCTCAGTACTGACGCATGGGGCCTTCTCGAAACATTTCGCCACTGGAAATGCTTCACGAAATCTAGATAGAAGCCACACTGTCAACAACGTCACCATGCAGAGATAGGGCGGTCTATGTTGTTTAGAGCCTAAAGTTTGGATGTAATTCTTTCCATGCCGGCTTGGACTCATAGAATACCTTCGGTTCGGAGACTCGTCCTTCTCCTCTTCTCATGGTTTTCTGCACGTATAGCAACCCGGGATGATGCCAGGAACTGTCAGGAGCTTCGAGCTGTGCTTCATACTCTGCTCGCTACCCGAGACATCCCCACAAGTGCCGGATGCAGCAAGTGCCAAGGAAATATATTGAAAATGCTCTGGAGATCCATGAGCTCTTCAACTTGGCCCAGATGCTACAGGGCGAGAACCTGCCCGCAAACATAGGAGAGCTGCGCCGCTGCATCGAAGAGAAAGGTACCTGACCCAGATTCTCTGGAGATCCAAAGCTCACCCATTGGAGTGACATCGGCTGGTCTGAGGTGAAGACATGTTCCGATTCTACATCTTATTCTTGCTTGGCTTTATGAGTGGCATTGCTGCCGGGACTGGTTCGCGGTTCATGAATGGCAAGATGCTTGGCCCAACAAAAGCACCGGAAGTGTTCTTGGCGTTCACATCCCAGCCTGTAGGGTGTCGAGAGCCTCCCCTGATGACCTCGACCGTCCCATTTCGCTGCTTTGAGGAATGCATCTGCAGTAATCAGTGGCATTCGCCTGCTGCAGCGGCTGATGGAGGTTTCCCCCCAAGCCATTTATTGGGGATACCTTGAAGAGAGGGCAGAGAAGCTGCGCCTGAATTTCTATACGGCGGAGGACAGTCTGCTACTCTTCGGCCTCTGGCACTTGCAAGTCTTATGTGCAGAAGTGTAAGCTGGGAGGACCTCGTGCTCGTCCGCTTATCCTGCCTGGCACGGGTTCAGGAGGAGAAGGATTATTTGCAGCTCCGGGCAGCATGGGATGCGCTGAAGGCGCGCGAGCGATCAGCACTGACCGATCATTTCCTGGCAGATGGCATCGAGGCAAGCTGTTTGTGTAAGGAAGCGTCCTCGTGCGACCGTTTGCAGCCCCTCCTTGTGCGTAGCGGGTCCATGTGTGTATGGGATGCACAGGAACAGGCATTCATCCTCGAGTTCTTGCCAAACTGTGTCGCCAATTCAAAGGCTCCGGGGAAGCGCTGATACAGCCTTGTACACAAGAATCGTCAAGTCTATGTGCCAGGCAAACAATACCGTTGGATTGACTGGCCTGCTGGGAGTGTTGGTAGACTTGCTCAACAACCTTCGCCTGAGCATGGACTCGATGCCGGACATGGTCCAAGCCTTTGTTTCCCCCAGTCATCTCTTCGTGTCTTGTGGAAACTGCTCCGTTGATACCAAGGAGAAAGTCATCCCGGTAGACCTGTCTGAAATGGCGGAGTTCATTGCCGTTGTGCAGAACCGATTCGTTTTCTTAACTTGCGTGTCGAGATGTCAGCTTCAGTTCATTGGGCAGACCCTTAGTTTGCAAGAGACCACTACCTTGAGTGGGTTTACACCCCTCGCCTCCTCCCATGCATTGTGCCACAAGGAGAGTCCACTTGAAGATGACCGGAGGACGCCCTGAGCGAGCATATCTGCGTGCTTAAGAGCGTGAGTCTGAAGAAGCGCGCGTCTTCCCTTTGTGAGGAAACTGGGGCCGGACCACGGACCCGGATTCAGACATGACAAGCTTGGCATACACTCTGCAGGACGCTTGGGCATGTCAGAAAGTTGAAAGAAGGAATGCCGGCCCTCTTTTCTCTTGCGCAGGATATCCTTCAGAAGCAGGAGGTCCTGGAAGCAGCTCAGCAGATGCTTGAGGGTTGTTGCTAACATGGCTCGAAGTGCACGGTCCCTTGAAATGCTGACGCTGCGCACAACAGTTCCAGACCTCCTGAGGCTTACATTATGCCGCTTAGAACAGCAAAAGTAGTCTTTTGGTCTGCGCATGCCTGTCTTGGCACGCCTCTTGGCAGAGCTCAAAGGATGCCTTCGCTTCATGCCATCTTGTGCTGAACTTAGGCGTCGCGAAGAAGAAGGATCCAAACGCCCCAAGCGTGCGTCGATATCGCTGGTGCGTGATTATAGTTGGAGTTCGGAGATGGTGAGACAGGAGGCATTTTGAACTGGCTGAAGCAAGCCTGCAAATATCACAAAGCCTGCCTGGAAATACCTAAATACCACAACTCAGCTTTCCAAGTAAGAAAGGGGGAGGACATCGTTTGGCCATCGGCAAACATCCACAAGATGCTGGACAGCTGCCCAAACGTTGATGCCCCTGGCTGTAAATTACAAAGTGGCCGCAGAGAGGCAACGAAGTCTTCTCCCCAAGGCTGAGGCACGTGCATTTCAAACTTCAGCAAGACGCCAGGGCTTTTCGCTGGTACAACGTCGGGAAGTCTTCTGCTGTCGGTCGGCCCATGTGATCTGGAGTTGTTCTAGATCCTTCTTCATCATATGCATCATCAGTGTTCCTGTATCAAGGGCCATCAGAAGTTCTAACAATCTGCCCTCTTTTTAAAACTGGCACTGGTAGCAATCAATCACTGCATGTCGTGGACTCTCAAACGAGAGCCACTCCAACTTTCGAAGCACTTGATGCCCTGGTGTGAGCCTGTGACCAGCGGGAAGTTCCGGGCGGTTGGGCCCCTGAGACCGGTAGATCTGCTCGTCAAGAGGTCACAGAGCACACTCCAAAGCGCTCTCAGAGAGTTCGGTGCCTCGAAGAGAGGCCCTTCGCCTAGTGTTTTAGCAAGCCGCCCCCCCAATCTCGGCGTTCTGCATCTTCACTAGTCGCTGTCGAATGCAGACTTATGATGGGGTGTTTTCTCGTGGGGATGGCTGCTTCCTTTTGCCTGTCTCAGCTGACCCCCAAACGTACCACATGCAACTTGCAAAACATTGAACCCACGGCATCTCAATTTCGAGACTCCTGTGCGCAACTGCAATGCTGTGCAACATGTTTCATGTAAGGGCAGATGCGCAAATCTGAACAGCACCATTTGGCCAGAGAAAGATTGAACCCGCCGCACTGATGCCAGGCTGGACGATCTCTTTGGACGCGCAGGATCCCGGCTTGCCGAGTAAAATGGTGCGACCAAGTTATATACTCTTGCATCATGTGTTCAAAAACAAAGATGTGTGTGTGTATATATATATATATAATATACGCGTGTATATATATATACACATACATACGTACATATACATACATACATACATGCATACATGCATACATACAGCTCGGCAATGCAGGTGAGACGGATGCATGATGATCTGTCGGCCCAAACCATAGCCACAATCTCAAACTGCTGCCACGGTTGCCTGGCCATGGCCCTGGCTCTATGGACTGGAGGCATGGAGATGCCAGTATGTCCCGTACGGAGTGCGGCATGCAGTGCAGCCTACAACTCAGGAAACAGCCAGCATGGGTATAACGAAGTTCAGAAGATCAATAAGCACGCGGCCAAGCTACGGGGCGTGAGCATGCCTTATTTGACGGGCAAGCCCCACACTGTCGCTCCGGAATTGAGGCGTGTTACCTGGCTGAACAGCAACGTCTTCCCTGATCGGCAGATCGACCAGGAGGTGCTACCAAATGTCAAGTAAACGTCTCTGCAGGCGAGTGACTTTACCGAAGCGACCAAAGCAACAGGCAATGAGCACCCTTCGCTTCCTCAGAGGCTTGCGTAGCAGCGACACCTAACTGTCTTGAGCATCCATTCGTGAAGACAGAGTTGCAACAAACCCGACAGCCAACAGCATTCCTTCAAAAGTCGACATTGACTGTCACAATGCATCCTCGATCGTCAGGCTTCAAGTCCATCTAGCCAGTCAATCGTGAAAGTGCCGAAGATCTAGATGTACCGACTTCGATGTGTGCTGTCTAGCTGCTGGCCAGGGTTTCGGTGACCCCGGACCCCTACGCAAATTATCGCGATCTTTTGTTCACCGACGTCCTGCATGATGCCTGGTGGACTTTGGCCCACATAATGCCAGTAGGCCCTGTCGTTCAGGCCATAGGCGCCTTGTGCCACCTGGGGGCCGCGCGGTCAATGGAGATGCTCAAGGACAGAAGTTTTGGACATCTTCTTTGGTATGGTGCGCGGAGTTGGGGTGAAGGAGATGGAAGAAAAGGCCGAGCAGATCAAGACTCCCAGCAACTACATCAAGGCATTGATGCACCGTTTTGCCTGCATGGTCGGCAGTGAGGCTGACACCACTCTAGTTTTGTCGAGCACAGACAGGCCGCAGCCGGGCGAGAAGCAGCACCTGCAGCGCCTCGTCAGTTTCGATTTTGACCGCCTCAACTTCTAGCAGTGCCTAAACAGGCTGCGGGCCACTCAAATGATCCAGCAAAGATTCACCGAAGAGCAACTTGGCTGAGTACCAACGTCTTCCAGGACTGCTCCGTTCCAAAGTCTTATCATGTATAGTTACTGTATATAGAATCCTTGTCGCAGCCGACGTGATTTGAAGCAGGATCGGCCAATAGATCAAGAGGCGCAGTGGAGGCGACATCTCTGCACATTCTGCCGTTGTCTTCTCCGCGAGGCTGTTATCGCCATGAAGAGCCTTGACACCCGACGGGCCCTGGAGTTGTTCAAGGAGATTGAGGTACCTTGGCCCCGTGTTGTTCTTTCGCATGAGTGTCGAATGAAGCTCTGTGCCGAGGAGAAAAAAGATCAGATAAAGAACCCTAGCAGATGGCTCATCTCTGCTGTTTCGCGGGAAACTTCCGGTGTTTACCCGGAACAGCCCAGGGCCAGGGCTCTGACAATGCCGGCTGTCTATGCACCACCAGCGCGGGCAATGCACGGACCTGCCGGAGCAGCCATGTCAAGTGCCGACACAAAGATCCACCGCAGAGCCTCCTGGTTGAACGCGAACGTCTTTCCGGACCGTCCTATCGATGAAGAGGCAGACCGGAAAGGGGAAATAAATGCTAGCGGCCACTATAACGAGCAGTGCACAGTACCCCTCTGCGTTTGATCTGCTTTCTCACAGCCGTGGAGGCCATCGTCGCCATGAAGGGTCTCGGTGGAGCCCGGGCCATGGAGCTGTTTAAGGAAGTCGAGGAGAAGTTCGAGCAAATCCGGAACCCAAGTTCCTATCTGAAGACAGCGGCGGCTCGAGAGAACCCTTCTGTCCAGGGCCGCGGCATGCCTCAAACGGCCCTCGCCCTGGCTCCGTTCCCGTCGCGCAGACCGGACGCGGACCCGGCCACGAAGATTCATCGCAGGGCGAGCTGGTTGAACGCCAATGTCTTCCCTGACCGCCAGATCGATCCGGAGGCCTGGGGAAATTCTCTTACCCTGCGTGCTTGGTCCTGAGCTTCGCGAAGGCGATCGAAGCCATGAAGACCTTGGACTCTGGGCGCGCCATGGAGCTTTTCAAGGCCCTGGCCCCAGACTTCTGATTTCACCTTGTTTCTGCGACATTTATTGACTGGACAGGAGGTTGAAGAGAAAAGTGGGCAGGTAAAGAATCCGAGCGGCTATCTGAAGAGCGCAGTTGCGCGGGAAGGGTCAGGAATGCCACAGAATCTGCCAGCATCTCCAAGGGTGGGCACAGTGGGCACCTCACCATTTGTGGATTTCGTGTGGGATGGCGTCTCACAAGTTTCGCTCGCTTCGCCTCGAAGGTTACCAGGCTGAGTGGCCCTGCTTCTGCAGAGGAACAGACGAAGATACACAGGAGAGTAACTTGGATGCCTCTTGGCTGCAAGTGCGAAGGTTGCCGGCTGCAGAAGCTTCAGTGCGTGAGTACAGAAGGCTTGGCTTGTCGTTTGCCTGCGTGGGTCACAAGCGCGGCTCGTGTATGAGCTGTGGCTCCTTGTGGTGCAGAGGAATGCCAACGTTTTTGCCGATCGGAAGATTGACGATGAGGCTTTTTGGCACTGGACAGTTACCCGTCTTCAGCCCCTTGCAGCCCCGTGTTCCATCGACACGGGCTGCCCCATCTGCATGGGTCCTTCCTGGTCCCGATAGCTTACCACGTCCTCTTTAGATCCGTTCCGCCCATTCTTCAAGAACAGTTGGTGCTTGGTTGAGATGAACTATTAAACAGGTGAGACGATGTGCTGAAAGTGTCTGAGAACTGATGCTTCCCTGGTCCAGTCTATAGTATAGTATAGTCTATACTATACTATAGTGCTTAGTCAACGATCGCAGGCCATTGGGGCCATGTATGGTTTGGGCCTAGCGCGGGCCATGGAGCTCCTCCAGGACCGGATGAGAAAAACCGAACATGAGCAGAAGACGGGGGGGAATGACGATGTGTGAAGGAGATCCAGGAGAAATCCGACAGCATGCGGACACTTGGATGCAATTGGCCGTAGCGCAGCAGGTCGTGTTTGTTGACGCATGCTGACGCAAGGAATCCGGCTAATTGGCTGAAGGCCGCTGCTTCTCGCGAGGGTTTGGCTCCACCTGCGCAAAGCATGGCACCTCGGCTGGCCGTGTCTGTCAGGAAGGATCCAGGCCATGAAGACAAGAAGACGCTGCCTCCTCGTGTGTGTGTTGATGACATGTTCACCTGAGGCGCCGTCTCCTATGAGCTTTCATCAGCCTGGTAACGGCAAGGCCGGTCTCAGTGTTTTCGAATCCGGGAAGGTAGCGAGCATGAATTAGGGACACGCGGCAACTTCATCCCGCAAGATCCTGCAAGCTTAAGCCCTGTTTGTCTGAGAGAGTACAAACGCACCGTCGTGTTCGTGAGGTTTGGGCATGTATGAAGTGGAAACAAGGTATGCGCATCCCAAGGCGAAGGAACGGATGTTGCCTGAAGGGGCTTCTGGGTAGGCCCCCGAAAAAAGTAGAGCAGCAGCTTGCTGCGTGAGTTGAGCATCAGCCGTCTGCAACTCACTGTCTTGCGGCCTTGCGCCAGGGTGGTCGTCAAACACCGGACTACTCGGACTACGACAAGCTGCACAGGTGTGGCATGAAACAAAGCCTGCTTAGCAGGCTCAGTTGTTTGACTGACGGAGGCGGATAAAATGGTTAAACAACAACGCCCGGCCCCCAGAATGCATTTTCGCGGTCCTTGCGGGAGCATTGATCGCTGGTCCCGTTGTGGTGATGTTTCCATCTTGGCAGCAAAATAAATGCCAACTATCTGGGGTTCCTGATTATAAGTATAGTAGAATACACCCCCCAATAACCCTATCCTACTTATTAAGGCCCCTGGCAAGCCATCCCACCGTCTAAGACATCCCTCACTCTGTGGAGCGACTTTTCAAGTCCGAATCGCCCCAAAAAACACAAACGCGAGTGGTTCCAAAAGCCGCCCTGCAGAGGTGATAGACTCAGTAGACTTTCGTTACAGCACTTTCAGCCAGCCCCCTGTCAGATTTGATACTTGTTGGAGCCGAAATGCAGCGAACCGGCAAGAACTTCCTCCTGGCGGCTCAACTTCGTACTGAGAACGCTCGAGTGAGGTCTTCGCCTACAATCCTCTCGATGCAGAAACAACTGAGGCCCAGCATTCAACGGATGGGTCAAAGGATCAGTTGCATCTCCGCAGGCGCTGGCATCTCTATCGCTGCAGAGAGCGCTGGAGATGTTAAAGGAGCTCGAGGGCAAAGGCTCCGAGGCCCAACGTAACACTGCATTTCCAGTGTGTGTGTGTGCGCGCTCACACAATCGCTTCTCTGCTTCGTGGCTTGCAGAGTCCGGTGTACGTGGGATGTTTATTCTTGCCATAAGTGTGTGGCCGGCTTGTCTCGGATCGGATGATCTGTGTTCGTCAAACAGATGACGGAGAGACGTTCAATCGCATCCATTGCTGTGGTCAGGTCAAAAACCCCTCAAGCTATATGAAGGCCGGATGCTGCCAATGCTCCTTCGCTTCCGACGTGACCGCACTTTCCGATACTTTAAGCCTATCTTATGTGAAGCAGACGAGAGACGGACCCTAGCTTTTTTTTCCTAACGTTGGCTCTTGTCTGGGGCCCTTGGTAGGGTGGCCTTTCCCACAATAGACACCTTCTTTAGCCTTGCCGCGGGTCGCCCGGGTCGCGGGCCACAGGCTGCGGCCCGTGAATAGCTGGGGGCGGGTTTATATAGCAAATGAGATATATGATGAATAGGAATCGCCAAATGCAGGTGCGTGCTTAAGACATATGCTGAGGGGCCTGTTTAAGATTTGTGATTAAATGAGGGGGCGTGTCTGGGATATATGATGAACCTGAATCGCCCAATAGGGGAAGGGTGTGTGTTTAAGATCTATGATGAATTGGAATAGCTACATAAGGGGGCGTGTTTAAGAAGTAGGATGGGGATCGCCAAATCATAAATGAGGGGCATGTTTAAGATGTATGATGAACTGGAATCGACAAATGATACGGCGTGTTTACGATATATGTTCAACAACAACAACAGCAACAACACAATCTACTTGGAGTGTCTGTTAAGTACACGTGTGTGTGTTCGCACGGAATGCAACGTCATGTCTGCCCTCTCGTTTCTAAGTTTTCGCACGAACCAGCATGCATCAAGACAGCATCGACAATCCTTCACATAACCAGCTCCCTGTCAGTGTTTTGCGCCGCTT